ATGGCTTTTCTTACTTTTTTCCTACTTAGTCTGGCTAATGGTTCATCAATTTGTTTAACTTCCCCCCGCCCCCGCAAAAAAAAAAAAAAAAAACCACAACTTTTTGCTTCATTGATCTTTTTTCATATATTTATTTTAAAAATAACTTATCCAAAATCTGTATTTATGCATCAAGGTTTACATTTTATGTCTTGTACCGATGTCATTGTTGACAACTTATATTTCCACTGTGAGAATCCCAATTGTCTGTTTCTCTTAGTATTTTCCTTTGGGTCCATCAGTTTTCCTTTTGTATTGTTTTTCATTTCAATTTCATTTCTTTCTACTCTGATTTTTATTATTTCTTTTCTCCAACTAATTCTGGGTTTGGTTTGCTCTTGCTTTTCTAATTCTTTAAAATGCATCATTAGATTGTTTATTTGAAGTTTTTCCTCTTTTTAATGTAGGAACTTGTAACTATAAACTTCCGTCTTAGTACTAGTTTGCTGTAGACCCCAGGTTTTCATATGCTGTGTTTCCATTATCAGTTGTTTCAAGAAATTTTTCAATTTCCTTTTTAATCTCTTCATGGACTCACTAGTCATTCAGGAGCATACTGTTTAATTTCCATGTATAGGAATAGTTTCCAAAATTCCCCTTGTTACTGATTTCTAGTTTTATTCTAATGCAGCCAAAAAAGATGCTTGATATTCTTTCAAATTATGTAAATGTTTTAAGAACTATTTTGTGACCTAACATATAGTTTATCCTTGAGAATGATCTGTGTGCTAAAGAAAAGAATGTGTATTCTGTAGCTCTTGAATAAAATGTTCTATAAATATCTATTAGATCCATTTGTTTTATAGTGCAGATTCAGTTTGATGTATCTTTATTGATTTTCTGTCTGGAATTCTGTCCAATATTGAAAGTGAGGAGTTGAAATCTCCTATTATTTTATTGGGGCCTATTTTCCTCTTTAGCTCTAATATTTTCTTTGTATATCTGGATGCCTTAGTGTTGGGTGAATATATATTTAAAATTGTTACATCCTCTTGCTGAATGACCCCATTATCATTATATAATGACCTTCTTTGTCTCTTATAGTTTTTGTGTTGAAATCTGTTTTGTCTGATATAAGTATAGCAATGCTGCTCTTTATTGGTTTTCATTGGCTTGGAATATCTTTTTCCATCTTTCTATTTTCAGTCTATGTGTCTTTATAGGTGAAATATGTTTCTTTTAGGCCACAGATCACTGGGTTATTTTTAATCCATTTAGCCACTCTACAAAGTTTGATTGAAGAGTTTAGTCCATTTACTTTCAATATTATTATTGATAAGTAAGGACTTACTCCTGTCATTTTGTTCTTTGCTTTTGTTTGTTTTTTAGTCTTTTCTTCCTTCTTTCTTTCTTTTTTTTTCTTGTCTTCCTTTTAATGAAGGTTATTTTCCCTTACAATATAAGTTAGTGTCATGCTTTTAACTTTTGTGTCTCCATTGTATTTTTTTTCTTTTTGGGTGGGGGGTTGAGGTTACCATGGCACTTGAAAATACTACCTTATAATGCATTATTTTAAGCTGACAACAACTTAACACTGTGTGCATTTAAAAAAAAAAAAAAAAAGCAAAAAGAGAACTAAGAAAGACCATACACCTTAATTTCACTTGCCCACATTTAAAATCCCTTTTGGTTGCTTTTAAGATTGTCTTTTGGGGAAAATATAGCTATTATATTTTCCATATTTCTTTTATCCACATTTATGAGCAATGATTGTACATTTTAAAATCTAGTTGAAGTTGTCCCACCACTTATTTATTCTTTGGTCTTTTTTTTTTATTTTAAGTTCTAGGGTACATGTGGACAACGTGCAGGTTTGTTACATATGTATACTTGTGCCATGTTGGCATGCTGCACCCATCAACTCGTCAGCACCCATCAACTCGTCATTTACATCAGGTATAACTCCCAATGCAATCCCTACCCCCTCCCTCCTCCCCATGATAGGCCCCGGTGTATGATGTTCCCCTTCCCGAGTCCAAGTGATCTCATTGTTCAGTTCCCACATATGAGTGAGAACATGCGGTGTTTGGTTTTCTGTTCTTGCGATAGTTTGCTGAGAATGATGGTTTCCAGCTGCATCCATGTCCCTACAAAGGACACAAACTCATCCTTTTTTATGGCTGCATAGTATTCCATGGTGTATATGTGCCACATTTTCTTAATCCAGTCTGTCACTGATGGACATTTGGGTTGATTCCAAGTCTTTGCTATTGTGAATAGTGCCATAATAAACATACGTGTGCATGTGTCTTTATAGCAGCATGATTTACAATCCTTTGGGTATATACCCAGCAATTTATTTCAGTCTTTTTTTTTCCCTTTGTTTAATTTAGAATAGTTTCTTCTCTTATGTCTTCAAATTCACTTATTTTTTTTTTGTAGTTTCTAATCTACAATTCAATCCAGTGTGCTTTTCATTTCAGACCTTGCATTTTTTTCTCTAGGTTTCCAATCTGTGTTTTTTTTTAATATATCCCCTTTTGATAAGTAGTATGGCCAATCTTCCCTCTGCTTTCTTGAACACATGGAAGCTAGATATTCAGTTATAACTATCTTATTTTCCTTGTCATAATTTTTAAACCTATTTCTATATATTACTTTTTTTCTCATATCTTCCCTTTTGCTTGCATGTCTGATAATTCTTGTTTGGATAAAAACCATTGTGATTTTATGTTAAGGCTGCAGAAAATTTGTATGATCTTATAAATACTTTTGTGTGTTCTTCCAAAATGTAGTTAAGTTACTAGAAAACAGTTTTATTCTTTTGAAGTTTGTATTTAACTTTATTAGAGCACATCAGAGCAGCTCTTAGCCTATGGATTATTTTTTTCCCTTTTACTGAGGAAATACTCTTTGAACACTCTACCTGATATCCAATGAATTAGAGGTATTTCTCTCTGGAGGATGGTTACAGAAATTCTTACTAGCACTATGTAAGCCCTTATGTTGTTCCCTGTGCTCTTTTCTTTTTTTGCGGGGGAGGGGTGCATCAGTTTTATTTATTTATTTTTTAATGTTACAGATTTATTTATTCTTTTTTATTTTTCCATAAGTTATTGGGGTACAGATAGTATGCTGCCAAGGGAAATTCATCCGGGGGTGCTTGGAGGAGAGTCCAGCCACTGACCAGCCCTATTCCAAGGGAAGACCACTTCCCACCCCATCTCCCTCTAAATCTTAATCCATCTCTCTGAGAGCTACTTCCACCACACAATGAAACTTTGCACTCATCCTCCAAACCCACATGGGATCTCATTTCTCTGGTAACTAGGGCAAGAACCCAGGATACAGAAAGCCCTATGTCCTTACAATAAGGCAGAGGGTCTAGCTCAGCTGATTAACACAAGCCATGTGCAGAGAGCAAAGCTGAAAAAGCACACTGTAACACAGCCCACTTGGGCTTCAGGAGTCACAGACACCCCTAGATGCTGCCATGGGGCCAGAGTCCAAAAAGCACTCCCCACAGCCTCTGTACCTGCCCATCTGCATGCTCCCTTGAGCAGCGAAGCACCAAGGAGGTGAGCCACACCACTGTCACACATCCTGCGAGGGGGATAAGGAAACACCCATTTCATTATTACTGAGGGACTGTGAAGCTAAGGCTTTTCTACCCAGATCTGGAATAGCATTGAAGAGCAATGGAAAGGAGAACATAGATATCAGGATAGCATGAGGCGGAAGAAGGGAGGCCATGTCTCTCAGAGCCAGAGCCTAGAAGGACTGTACAGATGAGACTCCCCAGAAATAGAGTTTGGGAGTAGACTCTGGAGTCAGATCTTCTATTTACCCCATCTGTGTCACTTATTTGCCTTGTGACATTGGACACGTTAATAAATATCTCTATTCCTCCACGACCTTATCTGTTAAATGAAGATGAATTATAATTGTACCAAATTCATTGTATTGTTATAAGAACTAAATTAATTAATGTTTTCATATGATTAAAATAGTGTCTGCCATACAATAAATACTTCATCATTATATAATTATGAAAATCATTTGAAACTATGCATACTTTTCCATTTTTAAGATCCACCATAATTTATTTACAACCTCCAGGAAGATTTTTGTTTCAAATCTATTACAAACAATCATAAAATAAGCATTCATATATAGAGTAATTAATATATACATTCAGTGATATCCATTATACTTAAGAAGTGAAACTATTTGAAGGATGGAGGTGTTTATACACATTTCTATGAATATAGTCCCATTGGCTTTATAAGAGAATAAACAAATTCACATGCTCTTTTTTGCCACATTCATTCATTCTTTCATTCACTAAGTAGTCATTAATTTATCTAGTATTTATTTAGCCAATATCTTCTAAACAGTGTTTCAGATGGCTGGTATTCGTTAGTGAGCCAAAGAAAGTTCTCTGCTCATATGAAACATATATTTTAGGGATGAAATATAAACAATAAAAATAAATGCAGAGATTTAGCAAAGTTGTTAGCACCTTCTACTTTCCAGTCAGATTGTCATTTTTCAACTGTTGGCTCTGACACTTAAAAAGCTGTGTCACCTTGAACAAGATACTTAACAGATCATCAGTGCAGTTGTTTGAGTGTTCAAATGGGTATAATAATAGTATGGTAGGCTAAATAATGTCTTGACATAAAGAGATTAAGCTGGTGGGTTTCATGTAATCACAAGGGTCTTTACATAAGTGTTAAATATAGTGAATCCCAAGTTTCTCTTCAAAGAGTCAGTATGTTCAGCTATCTTATTCTTTGATTTTCTGTTTTAAAGTTTAACTTGCTGATTCTCTTTGCCCCCTTGCTCCCAGTTTCAGTAAACAACTTTCTTACCAGTCCCAATCAGCAGTTCACATCTGTTCTCCTTGTCACTTCCTTTGACCCGAGTCACCCCTGGTCACCTGTTCCATCCTGACTCATCCTGAGCCACCAGTTCTGTAACCGCCCTTCCCCCTAAACTACTTACCCCACCACTCCAGCTCATACGCCTGCTCTTTTTTAAAATAGCCAATCAGAATTAGCTTAGACTGTGCAGTCCAACCCTAGCCAATAGGGGAATGATACAGCAGTAGAGGTTACCTGCATCAGGAATAAGAACCTCGTCCCCTCCTCAGTACGGGTGTGCTCTCGCCATTGTTCCACCTGCAAGGAGCACTCTTTCTGCAGAAGATAAAAATTGTCTTGCTGAGAAAATTAAATTTATATTCAAGCGCTATTTCTTTGCAGGACCAGGGAACAAGTATTTTGCATTTCTAACAATTTGGTGGCCCGTACGGGGACCTATTCTCCTCTGGGGGTGGTCTCCAGTCTTCTCTCATAAGGAGGCGCCCTGCTGCCTCATTGTGGTGACCTCAGGGGTGAGGAACTGAAACCCTGCTGTGTTGAATAAACCCGAACTCTCAGCAAGGCGGAAAGAAACGGGCTGGTGACCTGGAGTAAAGGATCCTCACGTACCTCGTGGACCAGACAACTTCCTGCACAAGCCAAGGAAGGAAACACTGGAGGAAATGGTAAAGTATTTCCTTGGTGGTCAGGACTAAGGAAAGAAAAAACGCAGGGGCAATGAAGCATTCCTTGGTTGGGACATACCAAGGAAAGAAAAGCTACAGGGGTGGTAAGGCATTCCTTAGTTGGGACTAAGGAAAGAAAAGCCATGGGGGGCAATGAAGTATTCCTTAGTCAGGATATCTTGGGGATGAAAAAGAGGTGAGACATTTCTAGTAAGGGAAATTGAGCCTCACCCAAAAAGGCAAGGTATTTCCAGTAAGGGAATTGAGCCTCACCCCAAAATGTGAAACATTTCTGGTAAGGGAAATTGAGCCTAACCCCCCAAACGGAAAATACCCCAAGTAAGGTGAAGGATAAAGCTAACAACAATAATATTCCCCCTAATAATCCCCTAGGCCTAATGTTAAAATATTAGAAGGATAAAAAAAATAGAGAGACAGAGAGAGAGAGAGTAGTAAAGTGAAAGCAATGTACCCTATTCCTTTAAAAGCCGGGGTAAATTTAAAACCTGTAAGTGATCATTGAAGGCCTTCTTCGTGACCCTATAACACTCCAATACTGCCTGTAAAGAAGCCAGATGGGTCACACCAGTAAGTGCAAGACCTTAGAGGTATTAATCAGACAGTTCAAATGACCCACCCTGTTGTTACGATAATAGATTTTTTAAATGCCTTCTGGGCTTGTCCATTGGCAGAGGAGAGCCAGGACCTATTTGCCTTTGAGTGAGAAGACCCTCACTCCAGTTGAAAATAGCCAATACCCATAGACAATCTTACCCCAAGGGTTTACAGAGTCTCCAAATTTATTTAGTCAAATATTAGAACAAGTCATTTAATTACCAAAGGTAAACAGTAAATTAAGCTTGAACAGATTGAAGGCATCATATCCATGCCTCTGCTAGAGACTAAACAAGCACTTAGAAAATTTCAAGATTAGTTGGAAACTGTCATCTATGGATAGACTCTTATGCCCTAAAAACAAAACCCTTATTAAAAAAACCTCACACAAGATGGGCCAAACACCGTCATTTGCCAAATACCAGAAATCCAACAGGTGGAAAAGTCAAAACATCTATTAGTAACTGCCCCTGTCCCAGCTTTACCTTCCTGAAACAGCCATTCCATCTTGTTTTCAGTGTAAACAAGGGCGTAGCCTTAGAAATACCCAAAAGCACTGACAGCCCGTAGCCTTCCTATCAAAAATTCTTAACCTAGTAACCTGCAGATGGTCCAAATGCTTTCAGTCTTTAGTTGCAACTGCTTTGCTAACAGAAGAAAGTAGAAAAATAACTTTTAGAGGAAACCTCATTGTGAGCACACCTTACCAATTCAGAACTATCCTAAGTCAAAAAAAGCAAAAAGGTAGCTTACTGACTCAAGAATCTTGAAGTATTTTATTTTTAAACAATGAAGGGCATTAAGTGTGGTAATCTGAGGCATATTTAGTAAAGAGTTTTGGAAAAGTTAAAACAAAAAAAAGAATCTTGAAGTATGATGCTATTCTGTTAGAAAAGTGTGATTTCACGTTAGCCACTGATAATTCACTTAATGCAGCAGGTTTCCTAACAGGGGATCTAAATCTTAATTAATTACCTTACAAAGGCCCAACCAGACCTAAGAGGAACTTCCTTCAGGATGGGACAACACTTATTTATAGGTGGTGCCACATGGGTGATTGAGGGAAAAAGAAAGAATGGGTATTCAGTAATTGATTGGGAAACTCTTGTAAAAATAGAGTTAGGAAAATTGTATAATAATTGGTCTGCTCAAACGTGTGAGCTGTTTGCACTCAGCCAAGCCTTAAAGTACTCACAGAACCAGGGAAGAACCATCTACACCAGTTCTAAGTATGCCTTTGAAGTGGCTTATACTTTGGGAAAAAAATTTAGACCAAATGAAGTCTTATTAATAGCAAAGGATAATAAAAATCCCAAACTTACAAGGTTTTCAACAAAAATAAAGTTAGCTAAAAATTAACAGTGTAACATGTATTATCCTAACTTTCAATCTTGTGGCCTTAGGCAATCTAGTCCATGGACATGAAGGAAGTTCACTTTGGAAAAGAACAGTTATCATCTTTGACCAAAAAAAAGGGGGGGAGGAGAGAATTTATGTAAAAGAAATGTTATGTGGTAACTTCTTGTCCTAAAATAGATTAATTGGTTGTTTCAAGAAAGGGATGTTTACAAGTCAGAAAGTTGAGCCATGTCAAAGACTGTCTGTGAAAGTAATGAAAAATGCTATAAAAGGGAATTTATGCAAGAATTATTGTATAAATTGAAAGTAATTAGGCCTCTTGAATGTAAAACTATTGAAGAAACAGTTTACGTGCAAGGTGTGTAAGGAAAGTAAAATGTACTTTTGGTAAAAGGATTATAAGGAGGCATAAAAATGTGAATTTTACCTACATTAAAGATTTAAAAAATTGTTTTGAAGGCTTAAGCAAACTTTGAAACGTTAATTATAAAGGAAATTCTGTGGTAAACATTGGCTAAAGTTAAAGGGGTATCATCCAGTTTTTCTGTGAACTAGACATAAAAAGCATAACAGTTTTTTTTTTAAGCACTAACCTGCTCTTTAACAAAAATTATAAAGGGTTAAAAAGAGTCTATAAAAATCTTACCTTATGGTCAGACATTAAAATTGGATAAATAATGTCTACAAGGTTTTACAAAAATTGAGTTTAACATTAATAGTATACTAATATAAAGGTAAAATTTAGCTTATCTGCTATAAAATCAGAAAGCATTGTCAAATATAAAATGACATGTGGCTTTCTTTGTCTAAAAACTAATAAAATTAGGTGCTAAAAAAATTCAGAAGGAAAAAGGAGAGTGCTAAACCAGAGAAAAATGTTATCCAAACATCTTACAAGGGGAAATATTGTTCCAACTGCATCAAGGGACCCACTGGGGACCCCAAGGCATGTGTGATGTAGTTCTCAGAGTTTATAGTGGTATAGAAATTTATACCCTGGCCAAACAAGTTACAGACAGTTGCTTAGCATATAAGAAAACTAATAAACAAGCTATAGAATCATTAATCCTCAGGGGAAGGAATCCAAGCTTAACGCCATTCCAGAATATCCAGATTGCTTGCATAGAAATGCCTCCAATTGATTGTCTAAAGTATTTATTAGTAATAGTAGATCACCTTACTCATTGGGTAGAAGCTATTTTCTTTTCAAGTCCAATTGCTAATAGTATAGTCAAGGCATTAGCTGAAAATATTATACCTAAGTTTAGATTAATAGAAAACATTGATTCAGATAATAGGACTCATTTCACTGTACATGTCATTAAGAAATGAGCTCAGGTACTGGATATAACATGTGAATATCATACTCTCTGACACCTACCTTCAACAAGTAAGGTAAGAAGGCCTATTACACTGTTGAGAGTCTGAATTGCTCTCTGAAAAGACATAGGCCTATTCCCTTATAAGATGCTTTATAGATTGCCTTATCTACTTTCAACTACTGATCTCCCTACATTTGAAACAAAAGATCAGTTTCTCAGAAATTATATACTTGGTTTATCTTCCACTTTCCCTTCCCTCAGAACAAAAGGTCTTTTAGCACAGGTGCCACCCCTAGAGTTTCCAGCATACCAACGTCAGCCTGGGGACCACGTCATTGTCAAAAGTTGAAGAAAATGAAAGGTTCGAACCGGCCTTCGAAGGACCTTACCTAGTGCTCCTAACTCCCGAAACCGCAGTCTGGACAGCAGAAAAAGGATGGACCCATCACACCCTAGTCAAGAAAGTGCCGCCCCTTCCAGAGTCATGGGCCATAGTCTGAGGGGAAAACCCTATCGAACTAAAGCTAAGAAAAATTTAACTCCTTTCATCTACTCTGTTACTCCTTCTTCTTTCCTTGCTCTATTGCTGACCACCTAGTTATTGATGTACCAAGTCAATTTTGCCTCAAACTATTACTTTTGATGATTGCCTTGTTACACCCTGTGGAGACTTGCCAAGTTAGAGGCAACTCTCCACTTCAGAAAAGTACTTTATCCTTCCTAGCTCTCCTCAGACTAAAAATCTGTTAACAGGGATAAGTTAGTTTGAGAAGAGTTTGATGAAGATTCCAGTATTAACTGGAAATCTTGTCCTCCTAGATCAGAGCTTCTCTGCCAAAGTTGGTTCAATGCTCTATAAAATACTAAAGAGCAAGGATGGACCACCCCAACCAGTATCTGCAATTTCTTAAAACCATATATTCATTTTACTAAAGGAGTTATCCCTCCCCACTGTCAGCTAAACCAATGTAATCCAGTACAGATTACTGTCTCTGCTCCCCAGAGTTCTTCCCTTCGTTAAGCCATTTCTATGGTATAGGAGCAGAAGTCTCAGGATCCTTTGAAATGTGCTTCATTGCCTCCTCACTTCCTGCACCCTTTTCTCCCTCTCCTACATTCTCCCCTAACCAAACCTTCTCTTGTTATATACCCGATGATAAAATCAAAGTAGTTGTTGTAGAGGTTAACTATTTAAAACAAACTATAGCAATTGAAAAAGGGTATCAAGATGCAAATGCTTGGCTGGAATGGATAAAATATTCTGTTTGCACACTAAACAAAAGTGACTGAAACGCTTGTGCGATAGGCAGGCCAGACACCCAGATGTTCCCTTTCTACTTGGATGGTCGTCTCAGGGACTGGGCATGAGTTGTATGGTAGCTCTCTTCCAGAACCCCACAACCTGGGGTGATGGGTCATGCAAGACTCTTTTACTGCTTTACCCTGAGGTTAAGAGCCCTGTGGGTCAGCCCTCAAGGGCCATCTGGCCTCCAGCCCCTGATATTAACTTCACCTCATGCCTTTCACGGCAGGGGGAAAAGTTAGCATTCCTTGAAGATTTAACAGGGTGTAGTGAAACCAAGCCTCTTCAAGAGCTTACCAATCAGTCTGTCCTTGTTCATCCCTGAGCATAAGTGTGGTGGTAGTATGGGGGACTATTGCTGGGTACTCTGCCAAGTAATTAGAGCAGCTCTTGTGCTCTAGTCCAATTTGCTTTCCCTTTGACTCTAGCATTCCGTCAACACAATTACAAAGAAAAGAGAAAATTGTAAAGGAAGAAGTACCCTATATGGGTCCTTTGACCCCCTTGTTTATATAAATGCTATTAGAGCTCAACGAGGAGTGCCAGATGAATTTAAAACCCATGATCAAATAACTTCAGGATTTCAGTCAATATTCTGGTGGGTGAAAATTAATAAAAATGTAGTCTGGATAAATTACATCTATTATGGTCAACAGTGGTTTATTAACTACACTAGAGATGCTGTTAAAGAAATAGCAGAGAAATTAGGGGCTGCTAGCCAGATGGCTTGGGAAAATAGAATAGCCTTAGACATTATATCAGCAGAAAGAGGAAGAGTTTGCCTCATGATTAAAACTCAATGTTGTACCTTCATCCCAAATAATACTGCCCCTGATGGAAGTATAACAAATGCATTGCAAGGTCTAACTGCTCTGTCAAGTGAGTTAACCAAAAACTCAGGGGTAAATGACCGCTTTAAAAGGTGGCTAGAAAAATCATTCAGTAAATGGAAAAAAAATCATAGCCTCAGTTCTTACTTCTCTCATGGCCATAGTGGGCATATTCATTCTTGTTGGGTGTTGTGTCATACCATGCATCTGTGGGCTGATGCACAGACTCATACAGGCAGCACTTACTAAAACGTCCCTTAATTGTCCTCCACCTTATTCAGAGAAGCTTTTTCTTTTAGAGAATCATGCCAAACAGCTAAGCCAAGACATATTAAGGAAGTTTGAAGAGAAAGAATTGGAAAAATTCAAGATGAAGAATTGTTAAATATAGTGAACCCCAAGTTTCTCTTCAAAGAATCAGCATGTCAGTATGTTCAGCTCTATTATTGATTCTCCATTTTAAAGTTTAACTTCCTGGTTCCCTTCACCCAGTTGCTTCTAATTTCAGTAAACAACTTTCCCTCCAGTCCTAATCAGTAGTTCACATCTGTTCCCCTGGTCACTTGCTTTGAAATGAGTCACCCCGGTCACCTGCTCCATCCTGACTCACCCTGAGCCACTAGTTCTGTAACTGCCCTTCCTGCCAAACTACATGCCTCACCACTCTGGCTCATACTCTTGCTCTTTTTTAAAATAACCAGTCGAAATTAGTTTAGACTATGCAGTCCAACTCTAGAAAACAGGGGAATGACACAGCAGTAGAGGCTATCTCCATCAGGAATAAGAACCTCTTCCCCTCCTCTGTACATGTGTGCTCTCACCCTTGTTCCATCTACAAGGAGCACTCTTTCTGCAGAAAGTAAAAACTGCCTTGCTGAGAAAATTAAATTTATGTTTGAGTGCTATTTATTTGCGGTACCAGGGAAAAAACATTTTGCATTTCTAACGTAAGGGAGATGTGAGAATAAGAGTCAGTAGTAGGAGTAGGAGATGTGACAACAGAAGCAAGTGTTTGGAGTGAAAGAAGGAAGAGTTCATGAGCCAAGGAATGCAGGCAGCCATTAGGAGCTAAAATAGGCAGGAAAACAGATTATTCACTACAGTCTCCAGAAGAAAACAGACTTAACAACTCCTTGATGTATCTCACCTAGGGATGTTTGCCAACACCTCTACTAACACTACATTAATACATTTTCATTTCCCACTGAAGAAGGTTTAAAAGGTATAATGTGTAATTTCCATTTGGTTCTTCCCATTAACGTAATACTCATATCCACTTTCTCTTCTATTATCTCTCTGAATCATTTGCCTATGTTTCTATCACTTTAGAGGTTTTGCTGGCATGTTACTTGATAGGAAAATAGTAAGTTTTAATACAAGATGTGTGATATGAGCCCAATATTGTAAATAAACATTTAACCCTATATGTGTATGTGCATAAGTTATATATAATATATAAAATGGGTGAATACACATAAAGTACATATACATATATAGATGTACATGGACACCTGCACCCACATATTATCTTTAAAACATGTTCCAAAGCATAAGTAACTTCTTCTGGGAGATGAGCTGTGAGAAGCATAATGAGTTATGTTACTTCTTATTTCTTACATTTCAAGTAGAAGACAGGAAGAGTGGTGAATATAATTTAACATAAGATACTTAGTTGTCTATGCTTTGGAGATGACATGAGGCTAATTATATTAGGGCCATAGCATAAAATTATCATCCCACTTATGTTAAAAGTAAAATAATATAGGAGAAATTGAGAAAGATAAAATCCTGGTAATTCTTCTTAGAAATTTTGTACAGCCAAACGTAGTGGCTCATGCCTATAATCCCAGCACTTTGTGAGGCTGAGGTGAGTGGATCACTTGAGGTCAGGAGTTCAAGACCAGTCTGGCCAACATGGTGAAACCCTGTCTCCACTAAAAATACAAAAATTAGCCTGGTGTGGTGGTGGGCACCTGTAATCCCAGCTACTTGGGAGGCTGAAGCAGGAAAATCACTTGAACCCTGAAGGTGGAGATTGCAGTGAGCCAAGATCACACCATTGCACTCCAGCCTGGGCAACAAAAGTGAGACACCATCTCAAAAAAAAAAAGAGAAATTCGTTCATGTTTGAAGAGAGAAGCATGACAGAGCACATGAGCAGCGATATGAAAGCATGTATTTATGCTTCTTTACCTGGTTCTAAGTTGGAAACATGAAGTAATAAAAGTACTCTGATTCTTTATTTAGAGATAAAATAATGACACTTTAACACCAGACCAGGCACAGTAGTTCACACCTGTAATCTCAGCACTTTGGGAGGCCGAGGCAGGCAGATCACGAGGTCAGGAGTTCGAGACCATCCTGGCTAACACGGTGAAAACCTGTCTGTACTAAAAATACAAAATTTAGCCAGGCGCGGTGGCATGCACCTATAATCCCAGCTACTCAGAAGGCTGAGGCAGGAGAATCACTTGAACCTGGGAGGCGGAGGTTGCAGAGAGCCGAGATCGTACCACTGCACTCCAGCCTGGGTGACAGAGCAAGACTTTGTCTCAAAAAAAAAAAAAAAAAAAAAAAAAAAAAAAACAAAACAAAACAAAACAAAACAAAACCACCAATGTGGATATAAGAATTCTAACATTTAGTATCCATTTCTCCCTTTGGCTAATCCTCTGACTATTTCCCTACAGGTTGGAACTGCTCCTGGACACAGTTTCTCACTTTCAAATCCAATCCTCAAGTAACTCTAACACTCAGCCAAAATAGCTTCCCGACCCTCTTCCCCTTTGTCCTTTCTGTCCTCATCATTTTGAGAACCAGCATGGCCTCCTGGAACTCTATTTTGTTTAATTACTCACCTACGTTATGCATAAAAGAAGGAAGATCTAATAAACTGACTCAGCAAATAATAATGTTTTTTTATTTAGAACATGCAAAGAAGAAATGCCTTTGAATTATAATACACAAATCATCTTTCTCTATTTAACACTGAAAACATATTAATAACTCAACATTAGATAAGTATTAGCATTATGTGACAGTCAATGCAACTGTTAGAGAGTATGGAGAATAGCAGATATATTTGCACAGTGAAACATAGGAAATTCTCCTTAATGGAAGCTGAATGTTCACTAGATCTTGAGGGAAAGGAAAATGTGAGATGACAGGCCAGAAAAGGTATCGCAGATAGTGAAAGGTGGATAACGCCCTGGAGGAAAGAGAGCTGCAGGGACAGCACAACAGCTGCCAGACCATCTGCTCTTCTTTAGACAGGGATGAAGCACAGCTGGTAGACGGGCGGCACAGAGACAAATCCATTGAAAACTGGAGTGGTGTCAAGGTCCTTTAAGTCAACCAGAGATTTCAGATTGAAGTTCTGTAAAATGGAGGTCAGGAATAAAAACAGCTCCATGCGGGCCAGGGCTTCTCCCACACAAATCCGTTTTCCTGAAAATAGAAAACACAGAGATCTGTTATTCCTCATGTGTAACTGTGACAGTGACAAACACTGTCTCTATAACTGGCACAAACAGAATATGCAATAACTGTTCAGTGAATCACAGGAAGGACAAGGAGATAGATAGGTGGTTGGGTGCATGCATGAGTGAATGGATGGATGGGTGGATGGATAAATGGATGAATGGATGGATGGATAGGCAACTGAAAGAATGAATGGACATACTTACTCTTCCCCTAATATCAAATCTTAACAGGCACTCTGTATTCAACAAACATTTATTGAGTACCAGCTACATGCCAAGCACTTTATTAAAATCTTTCTACAGACTTTAAATGTCTTCATCAATCTTTCTTTAGAAACATACGTTCCTTGTCAAGTGGGTTGAACTGAGAAGGACCTAGAGGAGGAGGCTAACATACTGTATTTCCCTTTGTATTTCTGGCTCAATACGCAGTCAAATATTTTTTTTTCCCCTAGGTACTTTCAGGAGCACATGTCTAAACATGTCACCTTCTTACTTTAAAACTTTCAATGACTTCCCTGTCTGTCCTATAGAATAAAGTCCCAATGGATTGACCTGGACCCTCACATTCTGTTTCCAGTCTGATGATTCATATCATTCCTTACACTCTTCACATCCCCTACCCTCAACTCTAGGCATAGCCACTCATCATCAGCCTCTAGCACACTACGAAGTTTCAAGTTTTATATCACGCTGCTCCTTTTGGCCAAGATGAACTTTTCTGTTACTACAGTCAGGACATAGGTCAAATTTTATCTCCTTTCATACCCGCTTTCTCATCTTCTTGAGCAAGAAAATGTTGCTTACTCTGGATTTCTTCAACATTATATTTATGTTTCCATTGAAAAATGTGCTATGATCTGAATATGGCTTCTCCCAATTTTGTATGTTGAAACATAATCCCCAATGCAACATTACTAAAGAGATGAGGCCTTGTAGGAAGTGAATAAGTCTGGAGGGCTCTGTCCTTGCTAAAATAATAACATCAAGAGATGCAAGGGAGCCATTTCTCCCCTTTTGCCTTTTTTGCCCTTCTGCCATATAAGGATACAGAGGGGGCATTATCTATAAGGAACAGGCCCTCACCAGGCACTTAACTTGCTGACACCTCGATTTTGGAACTCCCAGCCTTCAGAACTGTGAGAAATAAATTTCCATTATTTATCAATTACCTAGTCTTGGATATTTTGTTACGGTGGAAGAAACAGACAGCATGGGTCACCTAGACTAATAATCATTTATTTATTTATGTATTTATTTATTTATTCATTAGTGTGTGATATGGTTAGGCTCTGTGTCCTTACCCAAATCTCATGTCAAATTGTAATTCTCAATGTTGGGGGATATACCTGGTGAGAGGTGATAAAATCATGGGGGATAATTTCCCCCTTGCTGTTCTCATGATAATGAGTGAGTTCTCATGAGATCCGGTTTTTAAAGGCATATAGCCTTTCCTCTTTGCTCTCTCTCTCCTGCTCTGCCACGGAAAGATGTGCTTGCTTACGTTCTGCCTCCCACCATGATTGCAAGTTTCCTGAGGTCTCCCAGCCATGCTTCCTGTACAGCCTGTGGCACTGTGAGTGAATTAAACCTCTTTTCTTCATAAATTACCCAGTCTCAGGTAGTTCTTTATAGCAATGTAAGAATGGACTAATACATGTGCTAAAGGTGAATGCTTGAAGGAAGGTTTCTTTTATTGTTTTCTTGGTATCTACAGTGCCAGATATAAAGCAGACATCAAAGGTCACAGAATAAAGGAAGGAGATTCTATCACCAGACACTCAGCACACACATTTCGGGTGTGGAGATCCAACATTCAAGATACATGGCCATGACTAGGGGAAGAGCGTGGTGCTCTGCATCACTGCAGAGTATCCTGCTACATTCCCACTGTCCCCCTCATCCCATCCATGGTTATTTGGCAAAGGTTCTAATATCCTTTATTTAGAGCCAATGTCCTGCTCCTTTAATAACCCTGCCTTCTCTTCTTTTCATCCTCTCTGCCTCCTTTGAGGTAGCTCAAATGTCTTTACTGCTATTAAAATGTTACTTATGCCTCACTTTGGGGTATAAGAGAACAACAAGCAGACAGCTTTTCCATCTACCTCCCAACTCCCAACAGCTTATCCTTTCCTGTATCACAGCCTCAGTCCTATTGAACTAAAATGATCTGTTTGCTGTGTTTTCCAAACTCATAAGTGAGGCTTTTAAAACCCTCTTCAGTGTTTGAGGATTTTGAGGATAATTTTATCCTACAAGCCCAGCCTAGGGGGTGAGGGACACCATGTGGAAAACACTCAGTGAAGTTCTGGAGTGAAATAACTTCCTCATGGCTAGTGAGGAAAATGTAATTAGTTTTATCTTCTAGGAGGAGTTCTTGGGTACCTCAGTGGTGTATCTAGAGGCAGAATTCAACCAACCTATACTTCAGCTTTCTCAATTTGGAAGAATTGGATTAACTCCCCAAAGCCCACTAATCTGGCCCAATAATTAGGATGTATCATGAGCAGGGAGCACACAGACATTCAGAACAGTGCTCTTGATCATGTACAAAGAGTAATTGTACCACTGCAGAGGAGGCACACGTAAGTTCCAACTGATCAAAAAAGTTGTCTTATACCCTGAGACACAAATGGAAATACATTTATATTACCTGCTGAGAAAGGCATGAAGTAGTTACTTTTCTTAAAATTGCCACCTTCATCCAGAAAGTGACTAGGGTCAAACATCTCTGGGTTGGGAAATTCTTTGTTGTCACGTAGCACAGAAGTCAGGGAAATTAATATGGTTGTACCCTAGAAACAAGAGACATAGATGAACTGAAATGTAAAGAAGTCATGAAGGTTGAAGACGGAGTGGTAATCATGTAGTTAAATCTTTTGATGTGCAGATGAGGAAATCCCATTCCAAAGAAGAGCAGTACCATTTCCAGATGCATAGACCAAGTAATAAGAGGCATGAGCTTAAGACCAGAGAAAATAAACTTGCTAAAGTGCCCTGAAATCACATTTGAAGTCCAGAGTACTTGGATATTTGGGTGCAACCTTCTGAGTCTGTTCTCCTTTTCATCAAGCTTGGACACTAGTGGCTGTCCACACTTGCTGCCCTATTCCATCATTTCAGTTTTCACCAACCTTATGTGTAGATTATGACTTAAAGTTGAAGTCTTTGTTGACATGGGAAATGGCCACAGTATCTGTTCACAGGGCATTTGTGAATAAACACATGATTGAGTTTCAAATGACGTCTTCTGGGATGGTAACAAGTGTAGTGGCAAGGACAAAACTATTGAGCTCTTGTCATTGTCATGCAGTTTGTTTGTCTTCATTTAAAGATATGGGAGAGATATTCATTACAGATTTATCCTAGCTTAAAAATACAGAAGGAATGATGAAATTAGAAAAATCACCTATTTGTAACCATTCAGGTCAAGATCATCAGGTCAGGCAATGAAAGATAAAACCATTGGATGTGTAATTTGGGAAGCAGGGTGTTCAGTCTTACAGTACCATGCCATAGATTTTCATCATTTACACATAAAAAGCAGAACCCCTTCAATGGAGAGATCTGGCAGATTCCAACTTATTAGGTGAGAATCTTACCACAACCCAACAATGGCATATGTGACATTATGTGCCCCTGCCTCACCACTGTGATTCAGTGGGATATTCAAAGTACTATGTAGCTTTCTTGCCAAAGTCATAACTGGAATATAATATCTAGAAAACAATCATACAAAATGAGCCCCAGGAAAATTTAAATGACTAATGACTTCAGCTCTTCACAGAGATCAACATACTGAAAGGAAACAGAGGAAATGGACTCTTCTTGATTACAGGAGATGAAAATATCAGGATACCGAAATTATGTGCCTACTTCTTGACTGGAGAGTGAATTGAAAGAAAAGAGTGATTAAAATATTCTTTAAAAATTGGGACATTTTAAATATAAGCTGTATAGTAAATAATAATGTTTTACTAATAACTCCACAGTATGAATGCTATTATTATCATGTAGGAGAAAACCATTGTTATTGTGCTATACATACTCAAGTATTGAGGCATAAATAGATGGATGGACAGATATCAAAGTAGATATATATACACACTGCCATATGTACATACACATATGTGTGTGTAATGTTATTTATTTAAAAAAATGTTATAATGCAAAGGTGAGGAAAAATTCTACCCCCTAAATTTCTATATAAATAGTCTATAATTTTGTTTTTTAAAAATATTCCCTTGAATGTTTCTAAACAAGTACTATATTAAAATGTTATTAAGATGCCAACGCAGATTTATTTCTACAAATGTTACTCGAATAAGTAGAAATTTATAGATATTGAAGCATGGCCACTATTACTTCATATTATGAATAAAAATTAATTTGAAATATGTCATTGTTCTAAATATAAGAGCTAAAACAAAAAAATTCTGGGAAAGTTAAAAGCCAGTCTTTGGAGTCTTGTGCTGACAAATATTTTTTAAATAGGACACAAAAGCACAAATCAATCGCACATCTTTGCAGAAAATTCTGCTGGACAGGAATTTCTTTTATTAGGCATCAAGAAAAAATACTCCCTGCACAAATCCATCCTGCCACCTGTTTTTGTATAGTATGTGAGCTAAAAGTATTTACATTGAACAAATGCAAATAAGAAATAATATTTTTGAAACAAACATTTTATGGGAAATTTACATTTGTTTCTATAAAAATTGGAACATATCAATCCTCATCCATTTGCAGATTGTTTATGACTGCTTTCATGCTACAATAGCAGATGTCAAAAATTGCAACAGAAACCACATGGCCGGAAAAGTCTAAAATATTTACTATCTGACCCATTACAGAAAGTTTGCCAACTCCTGTCTCAGACTACTATCTCCAGCTAGATAAATGGATCCAGCCTGTGACAGAAGAACACATATATCTGATTTGTAAAGAGGGTAGAATTGGCCACACAGTGTTGCATTTTTCTGTACTGGGCTATTCCATGAAGAAGGGATTCAATGGGTAATTCCCTTGGGCTCTGGCTTCTCAGGGCTCAAAAGACACCAGACACAGCATGAGTTGCCCTGCATGGGGGTGAGTGAAGAAGCTCATCAGATGCAGCATTTCCCCTCCAGCAGGTCACCAAAGCTGATGCAGTGAACTGGGGAGACTGGCAACTCCTGCCTGATTCTTCAGTATATTTCTCATTTAATTAGTTATAGGAGAAGAAGTAAGTTTCATTACTATTACCCTCAGACCCTAATTTTGAGAAACAAAAATCATCTCTGGTTACCTCCTGTGTTTGTGAAGACAGAGTGCATTGAAGTATTTTTTCTTGTATTAAATCAGTGACCATTAGGGTAAGCCGCATAATCTCTCAGTAAATTATCAATTCTGTCTTCTTCAAAAGATGACATTAGTAATTGCAACCTTACCAATCTCATTGCTTTTTCCCCTTGAAAATACAAGTTTCAGTTATATTATTTTTTATTTCACTAATAATATTGCAGTGCATTGGAGACTATGGTTTTACTTGGAAAAAGTAGGTTTGAGATGGCAACTGGAGTGTCTGGATAAATACAGAAACCATGTGATAGAACGCATTGTAAAACCACTGAGATAAAAATTGGTCTCAAGGTTCCAGAGGTAGGAGAAACTCAGAGAGCTAAGCTAACACTGACACTCAATTTTTGGCTGTCTTTGCATTACATCCAGTTCTGAATCATGACAACAGGTGTTATGTCATTATGACTGCCTATGGGAGAGGAATGAATATTTCTTTAAAGAATATAAACTTCCTTTGCAATTCTGTAATTTCTTATATATAACATCTGGTACTTAACCAAAATTTATCAGACATTTCAAAGATACAACTAAGTTATCACAAGAAGAAAAGTGGGGAGAGGGAACGGCAATAAAAACAGACTCGCATTAGGAAACTTTTTTCGCCTAGTTTTATAAGGCTGGTATAATCTTAATATCAAAAATCTTGAAAATTCTGGGAAAGAAAATTATAAACTAAATCTCTTGTGAATGTAAACACTGAAGTCCTAAACAATATGAAGAAGGTCAGTTCATCTTTATGTGGATACTTATTTTTATTTAGTGAGGAATGTAAGCCAAATATATGTAATCTGATGTTGAATGGATATTTGTCCCCTTCAAATCTCATTGTGATTCCCAATGTTGTAGGTGGGGTCTGGTGGGAGGTATTTAGGACATGGGGATGAATTCTTCATAAGTGGCTTAAGGCACTTCCCATGATAATAAGTGAGTCCATATTCTGTTAGTTCACACACAAGCTGGTTGTTTAAAGTTACTTCTACCCCTTTTTCCCTTACACCCTCTCTTGCCATGTGACACGCTTGCTTCCCCTTCACCTTCTTCCGTGATTGAAAGCTACCTGGCCGGGCGCGGTGGCTCAAGCCTGTAATCCCAGCACTTTGGGAGGCCGAGACGGGCGGATCACAAGGTCAGGAGATCGAGACCATCCTGGCTAACACGGTGAAACCCCGTCTCTACTAAAAAATACAAAAAACTAGCCGGGCGAGGTGGCGGGCGCCTGTGGTCCCAGCTACTCCGGAGGCTGAGGCAGGAGAATGGCGTAAACCCGGGAGGCGGAGCTTGCAGTGAGCTGAGATCCGGCCACTGCACTCCAGCCTGGGCGACAGAGCCAGACTCAGTCTCAAAAAAAAAAAAAAAGAAAAAAAAAAAAGAAAGCTACCTGAAGTCCTCACTAGGAGGAGATGCCTGCTCCCATTATGCCTCTTGTACAGCCTGCAGAACCATGAGCCAAAGTAAAACTCTTTTTAAATAAATTACCCAGCCAAAGATATTCCTTTATAGCAATGGAAATGGACTAACACACAATTGTATAAATAGATGCCCAGAATTGATTGATAAGATTTTATACACAATGATGACATATATATATATGAGACAGCAAACTTCTCTAATCTTATAACAAGAAAAACTACCAAAATCTACTTCAAGCATCATTCTCGATATTGAAATGGAAAACTTCCACTGCTTTCTGCAGATTAGAAATGAAAAACAAGGATCCCCACTGTCACCAATTCTATTCAACACTCTCCTAGAAATTCTAGCCAATGCAATAATGAATGCAATAAAGAGGCATTAAGCCCATGAGAAATGGAAAATAAGAAATAAAACAATATTAACCCAGATACATATAATGTACACAGAAATTACAATGAATCCAGAAATAAATTATGAACAGTGATTAGTAAAATTAGCAAAGTTGACAGATTAACATCATCAGAATGATAAAAACTGATTATGTTCCACAACAAGAATATTAATTATCTAGGGAAAACCAAAGACTTGAAAGCCATGACAACAAAATCACAACATTCCTGGGAAAATAAAAGAAATCCCAAATAAATTGGAAGGATAATTATATTGAGGAATGGAAAGACTCAAGGTGTCAAGATTCAGTTCTTTCCAAACTGACTTACAAATTTAATGTCACCCTGACAGAAATTCCAGCCCAATGTTTTGGGAAATTGACAAACTAATACCTTTAAAATGTATTTGGAAATATAAGCACCTAAGAGAGGCCAAACCAATCTTGAAGAAAGATAATAAATCTGGAAAACACACACTGCCAGACACAAGGACCTGTTACAAAACTTTGTAGCCCCAAACTGGAAACAACAGAAAGTCCCATTAAACTGCCATACATATGAGTTAGGCACTTCTTTCACTCGGTGATGGTAGAGGATAAGAATGATACTATAAATTTGGGGACTTCAAAAACATGGAGTTGCAGTGTAGGAGAAACAAACTTACTTTGGGAATCAGATAGTTTCTGAATTTAACGTCACAGGTCACTGCATGGGGCACGCTGGTGGGGAGGAGGTCAATGTATCTCTGGATCTCGTGCACCACAGCATCTGTGTAGGGCATGTGGCTCCTGTCCTGCATGCAGGGGCTCCGATTTCTGCCTATCACATGTTCAATCTCTTCCTGGACTTTAGCTGACAAGACACAAGTAAAAACTGATGGAAAAGGAGAAAAAATGGCACATTTGTTACAGCAATTCAGGGCTACATGAATCATGATGAAGGTATCCAAACATCATTAGAAATTTAAATTATAGTGATGGAAGTATACGCAACCTTAAAGAGAGGACTGTTACAGATGCACAAATGTGTAACTGCTATAAACTAGGCATTAAGAAAAATCCGTACACATGTAAGCAGAGAAAATTATCTTCAATAAAGGAAGGCAGGAAGAAATGAAAGAAGGAAGAGATGTCCACTAAACAACCAGAAAACAAATAACAAAAGGGCAGGGGTAAGTCCTTACTTGTCAATAATAACACTGAATGTAAATGGACTAAAATCTCCAATCAAAAGACATAGTGGATGGAAAAACAGGACCTATTAACCTGTTACCTAAAAGAAACACACTTCACTTATAAAGACACACATAGGCTGAAAATAAAGGAATGGAATGAGACAGTACCTGCCAATGGAAATGAAAAAAAGAGCAGGAGTTACTATATTTAAAACAGACAAAGCACATTTCAACACAAAAACTGTAAGAAGAGAAAAAGAAGATCACTATTGGTAATGAAGTGGTCACCTCGGTAAGAAGATGGAACAATTTTAAATATATATGCAACCAACAATGGAGCACCCAGATATATAAAAGAACTATAATTAGAACTACAGAGAGATAGACCACAATACAATAATAGCTGGAGACTTCAACACCCCACTTTCAGCATGAGACAGGGCATTCAGAGAGAAAATCAACAAGAAAACATTGAACTTCATCTGCACTATAGACCAAATGGATCTAATAGATATTTGCAGAATACTTTATCCAACTGCTACAGAATACATACTCTTTTCCACAGCACATGGATTGTTATCAAGAACTGACCATATGTTAGGTCACAAAACACGTCTTAAAATATTCAAAGAAACTGAAATAATATCAAGCATCTTCTCTGACCACAATGTAATAAAACCAGCAATCAATAACAAGAGGAAATTTGGAAACTACACAAATAAATGGAAATTTAAAAATATGCTCACAAATGAACAGTGGGTCCATGAAGAGATTAAAAAGGAAATTGAAAATTTTCTTGAAACAAATGATAATGGAAACACAACATACCAAAACCTAGGGGCTACAGCAAGACCACTAGTAAGAGGGAAGTTTATAGCTACAAGAGCTTATATCAAAAATGGAGAAAAATTGACAAGTAAACAATCTAATGATGCATCCTAAAGAACTAGAAAAGCAAAAGTAAATTAAACCCAAAGTTAGTAGAAGAAAAGGAATAATAAAGATCAGAGCAGAAGCAAATAAAATTTAAATGAAGAAAACAAAACAAAAGATCAATGAAACAAAAAGTTGCTTTTTTGAGAAGTTAAACAAAATTGACAAACCTTTAGCCAGAATAAGAAAAAAACAAAAAACAAACAAAAAAAACAGAGTAGATTCAAATAAATAGAAACAAATTAAAAAGTAGGCATTACAACTGATTCTGCAGAAATTCAAAGAATTATTAGTGGTTACTATGAGCAACTATATGCCAATAAATTGGAAAATCTACAAGAAATGGACAAATCCCTAGACAAATATGACCCATCAAGATTGAATCAGGAAGAAATCCAAAACCTAAACATGCAATGACCAGTACCAAGATCAAACAAAAAATAAAAAGTATCCCAGTAAAGAAAATCCCAAGACTGACTAGCTTTACTGCTGATTTTTACCAAACATTTAAAGAACTAATACCAATCCTACTCAAACTATTCCAAAAAATAAAGGCAAATAGAACACTTCCAAACTCATTCCATGAGGCCAGTATTACCCTGATACCAAAATCAGACTAAGACACATCAAGAAAACAAAACTACAGGCCAATACACCTGATGAACACGAATGCAAAAATCTTCAACAAACTGTGAGCAAACCAAATTCAGCAATACAATAAAAAGGTCATTCACAATGACCAAGTGGGATTTATCCCTGGGATGCAAGGATGGTTCAACATGTGCAAATCAAGCAGTGTGACACATCATATCAAAAGAATGAAGGATAAAACCCATATGATCATTTCAGTTGATGCTTTAAAAGGATTTGATAAAATTTAACATCCTTTCCTCATACAAATTCATGAAAAATAACTTGAGATAGAAGAAACATACCTCAACGTAAAAAAGCTATATGAGAGACACACAATTAGTACTATACTGAATAGGGAAAATGCAAAGTCTTTCCTCTCAGATCAGAAACACGACAAGGATGCCCACTGTCACCATTGTTATTCATCATAATACTGGATGACCTAGCAAGAGCAATCAAACAAGAGAAAAATATAAAGGCTATCCAAAATGGAAAGGAAGAAGTCAAAATATCCTTGTGTGCAGATGATATAACCTTTTACTAGGAAAAACCTAAAGCTTCCACAAGATAATTATTAGAACTGATGAACAAATTCAGTAAAATTGAAGGATACAAAATCAATATAAAAATCAGTAGTGTTGTTATATGCCAACAATGAACAAAAAGAAAATTTAAAAAGTAATCCCATTTACAGTAGCCATACATAAAATTAAATACCTAGGAATTAATTTAACCAAAGAACTGAAAGATCTCTGTAATTAAAACTATAAAACACTGAGGAAAGAAATTTAAGAGGACAGAAACAGAAAAATATTTCATGTTCATGGATTGGAAAAATCAACATTGTTAAAGTGCCCATGTTATCAAAACAATCTACAGTTTCAATAAAATCCCTATCAAAATATCAATGGCATTCTTCAAAGAAATAGCAAAAATAAATCCTAAAATGTATATGGACCCACAAAAGACCCAGAATAGTCAAAACTGTCCTAAGCAAAGAGAACAAAATTGGAAGAATCACATTATCTCACTTCAAATTATACTACACAGTTGTGCTAACTAAAACAGCATGGTACAGACATAAAAACAAACACATTGACCAATGGAACAGAATAGAGAATCCACAAACAATTTCACAGACCTAGAGTGAACTCATTTTTGACAAAGGAGCTGATATGGTTTGGCTGTGTTCCCAGCCCAAATCTCATCTTGAATTGTAATAATCCCCACAAGTCAAGGGTGAGGCCAGGTGGGGATAATTGAATCATAGGCGTGGTTTATTCCATACTTTTCTCATGGTAGTGAATAAATCTCACAACATCTCATGGTTTTATAAATGGAAGTTCCCCTGCAAAGCTCTCTGCCTGCTGCCAGGTAAGACGTGACTTTGCTCCTCATTCACCTTCTGCCATGATTGTGAGGCCTCCCCAGTCATGTGGAACTGTGAGTCCATTAAACTTCTTTCCTTTATAAATTACCCAGTCTTGTGTTGGCTTTATCAGAAGCATGAGAACAGACTAACACAGGTGCCAAGGATGTACAATGGGGGAAAGACAGTCTCTTCAATAGATTGTGCTGGGAAAATTTAATATCCTACACAGAAGAATGAAACTGGACTCACATCTCTTGCCATAAACAAAAATCAACTCAAAATGGATTAAAGACTTAAATCTAAGACCTTGAACTGTGAAAGTACTGTAGGAAATCCCTAGGGAAAATCTCCCAGACATTGGTCTAGGCAAAAATTTCTTGAGCAATACCCCACAAGCACAGGCATTCAAAGCAAACATGAACAAATGGGATCGCATCAAGTTAAAAAGCTTCTGCACAGCAAAAGATACAATCAACAAAGGGAAGAGACAAACCACAGAATGGAGAAAAATATTTGCAAATTATTCATCTGACAAGAGATTAATAACCAGAATATATAAGAAACTCAAGCAACTCTATAGAAAATAATCTAATAATCCAATCCAAAAGTGGGCAAAAGATTTGAATAGATGTTTCTCAAAAGAAGACATTTAAATGGGTAACAGGCATACGAAAAGGTGGTCAACACCACTGACCCTCAGAGAAATATAAATCAAAATTACAATGAGATGTCATTTCACCCCAGTTAAAATGGCTGATATCCAAAAGACAGGCAATAACAAATAACAAAAGTGAGGATGTGGAGATAAGTGGACCCTCATACAATGTTGGTGGGAATGTAAATTAGTATGACCACTATGGAGAGCTATTTGAATGTTCCTCAAAAAACTAAAAATAAAGCAACCATATGATCCAACAACCCTACTTCTGGGTATATACCCCCCATAAAAGGAAATAAGTATGTTGAAGAGACATCTGCACTCTTATGTTGGTTGCAGCACTGTTTACAATAGCTAAGACTTCAAAACAACCTAAATATCCATCAACAGACAAATGGATAAAGAAAACATAGTACATATACACAATGTAGTTCTATTCAGACGTAAAAAGAATGAGATTCAGTCATTTGCAACAACATGAAGGGAACTGGAGATCATTACTTTAAGTGAAATAAGCCAGGCACAGAAAGACAAACATAGCATGTTCTCACTTATTTGTGGGATCTAAAAATAAAATAATTGAACTAATGGACATAAAGTATAGAAGGATGGTTACCAGAGACTCAAAAGGGTAGTGGGGGGTGGGAGGGGAGGTGGGGATGAATAAGACCTACTCTATGATAGCACAACAGGGTGACAATAGTCAATAATAATTAAATTGTACACTTTAAAATAACTTAAAGAGTGTAACTGAATTGTTTGTAACTCAAAAAATAAATGCTTAAGGGGATAGATACCGCATTCTCCATGACATGCTTATTTCACATTGCATGCCTGTATCAAAACATCTCATGTACCCCCAAACATATTTATACCTACTATGTACCCATAAAAATTAAAGAAGATAAAAGATGAATCTGTGTATAAATTATATATTAGTATATATAATAATACAAATAAAAATAATAAAATGTTTGAAAACATAAAGTAAGCATATAATTTAGTCATGAAATTACTGTCTTAAAAAAAACAGGGATTGATTTCATATCAAAATAACATATGTTGCTTAAACATTAAATTATACTCTCAGATTTATGCGTATATATGACTGTATTTGTGCATCTGTGTGTGGCAAGGGTCGCAAATTGCAATGGTTTGCAATTTGTACACTTTCCAAATCCACCATTTTGAACATTCTAGCAGCTCCTTCTGAACATACATCCACATTTTAAAATAAAGACTCTGTTTCTATTTCTTACTTATCCTTTTGTATATTATATTTAATAATTTTTTATTATGAGAGATGAGAATTTTAATCTCTATCTTCACCTCATATTTGAACACACCCACAGATAGACATACTCACTTTTTCACATGCTTTTTTCCAGAATATATTTGGATGACAATTTTTATGATATCAGTATTCATTGCTTACATCATTCTGACTACACAAATATAGTTATCTGGTAAGACAGCTATGATTAAATTATATTTTTAGTACTTTCCTTGGCTTAACCATGTCTCTATTTTAATTTGTAATTTTCTGTTTCCCAAGTTAGAATTATTTACAAATGTTCAGGCAGATGTTTGAAACTCTTTTTTAGTTATTGGAAACTCCCATAAAATCTGTCACATCTCTTGTTCTTGCTGTCTCCTCTCACTTCTGAATTATCCACCAGGTCCATTCTGAAGTAGTTCTTTTCTAGGTCTGGTGCTACGCAGCCTCCCTGACACTCTCATTCTCCTATGTGAGGTTTCCTGATTGCTGGAGCTCAGGACATTCTCTAACTAGGTTTCAGGCATTTGAATGAAGTGCATTCTCCAACATTTTTCTGAGAAAGGGAAAATAGAAGGTAAAATTTTTGGCAAACATGCAAGTTTGAAAACACCCTGTTTCTATTAATATACACGATAATATTAATAGTTCTTGAGAATTCTGAATCCTAATTCTTTCACTATAACCTGGTATAGCTCTGAAAGTTTTTGTGATTTTCCATTTAATTCTCACGTCCTGAAATTCCATAACCCTGGGTCTAGCAGTATATGTTTTCATTTCATTCACTCTGTTGGACATTGAAGATAATTTTCTGTTAAGATGGCAAAAGAAAAACGTCATTTTTCTAGATCAGTTCCCTTTCTGTGGGATAAAGCTAGCTACTGAATTTTAGGAAGCAAGATGAATAAAAGAGCTAAGAGTCTTTGAATTCAAGGAGCAGATCCGTACCAAATCTGCCTTTCAAGCCTACACCTCATGCCTTTTCTGGCACTTCCCTGTGTCCCTGAGTACAGGGCTTCTTAAACTCAGTTTCTCTAGAGAATAAGCCTCCTTTTCCATGTGGGAGAAAATTAGTTACCTGATGAAAAGAGTTGTGGAGGAAACGTAGGCAGGGAGAGCCTCCTTTTTCAGTCTCATTCTCCACCATCTTTGACCCTTGGTACTTCCAAATACCAATTGGGGGCATTTAAGGGACACTGATTAACTTTTTGTCCTTGATAAATTTTTCTCTTCTGACTTTTTGGTTACAGGTTTATCCTCTCTGTACAGATTTATCATTCCTCTATATGCTCTGTGTGTTTTAGAAATTTGTTGAAGTCTTCTTGACTATCTCCTGTACTCTTCCTACATTAAAGGACCTAAATGTCTAATATCCAAAATCTATAAAAAATGTAAACAAATCAACAAGCATTAAACAAAAAAATCAATTAAAAATGGGCAAAGGACATGAACAGGCACCTCTCAAAATGTGACATACAAGCAGCCAACAAATATATGAAAAAATGCTCAACATCACTAATCATCAGAGAAATGCAAATCAAAATCACAATGGAGTACCATCTCACACCAGTCAGAATAGCAATTATTAATATTAAAAAGTCCAAAAACAACAGACGCTGGTGAAGTTGCAGAGAAATGGAAATACTTTTACACTGTTGGTGGGTATGCAAACTAGTTCAGTCACTGTGGAGACCAGTTTGGATATTTCTGAAAGAACTTAAAATAGACCTACCAGTTGACCCAGCAATCCCACTAGGGAGTATATGCCCCCAAAATATTTATTCTCTCAAAAAGACACACACCTCAATATGTTCACTGTAGTGCTTTTCAGAATAGCGAAGAAATGGAATCCACTTATGTGCTCATCAACATTGGATTGTATAAGGAAAATGTGGTAAATAGACACTTATATGGTTAGGCTGGGTCCCCACCCAAATCTCCTCTTGAATTCTAGCTCCCATAATTCCCACGTCATGGGAGGGACTCATTGGGAGGTAATTTAATCACAGAGGCCGGACTTTCCCATGCTGTTTTCATGATAGTGAATAAGTCTCTATCAGAGACTTATTGTGAGGCCTTTACAGCTGTGTGGAATTGAGAGTCCGTTAAATCTCTTTCCTTTACCCTGTCTCAGGTATGTCTTTATTAGCAGCATGAGAACAGACTAATACATACACCATGGAATGTTATGCAGCCATAGGAAAGAACAAAAATTGTGTCTTTTGCAGGATGATAGATGAAGTGGGAGGCCATTATCCTAAGCAATCTAATACAAGAACAGAAAACTAAATACCACATGTTCTCACTTATAAGTGGGAGGTAAGCATTGAATACACAAGAAGTTAAAGACAGGAACAATAGACACTGAGGATCACTAGATGGGGGAGGGAGGGAAGGGATGTGGGCTGAAGAACCATCTGCTGGGTAATATGTTTACTGTCAGTGTGATGGAATAGCTGGGACCCCAAGCCTCAGTGTTACACAACTTACCTATGGAACAAACCTGTATTTGTACCCTTTAATTTATAATAAAAGTTGAAAAATAATCATCTAGAACTCAATAGGCTAGTAACTGTTCCGAAAAAAGGCCTAATTCTTTTTTTTTATTACTTTTTTATTTTTAAAAATTTTGTCTTTATAGTTTTTAGAAATTTAGGGGAAAATACAAGTACAGAAAATGTACAGGGTAATTCATCAAATGCCTGTGTACTCATGAGCTAGAACAAATATAAACATTTGTCTTTTTTTTTAAATTTATTTATTATTATTATACTTTAAGTTGTAGGGTACATGTGCATAACGTGCAGGTTTGTTACATATGTATACTTGTGCCATGTTGCTGTGCTGCACCCATCAACTCGTCATTTACATCAGGTATAACTCCCAATGCAATCCCTCCCCTCACCCCCCTCCCCATGATAGGCCCCGGTGTGTGATGTTCCCCTTCCTGAGTCCGAGTGATCTCATTGTTCAGTTCCCACCTATGAGTGAGAACATGCGGTGTTTGGTTTTCTGTTCTTGTGATAGTTTGCTAAGAATGATGGATTCCAGCTGCATCCAAGTCCCTACAAAGGACTCAAACTCATGCTTTTTTATGGCTGCATAGTATTCCATGGTGTATATGTGCCACATTTTCTTAATCCAATCTGTCACTGATGGACATTTGGGTTGATTCCAAGTCTTTGATATTGTGAATAGTGCTGCAATAAACATACATGTGCATGTGTCTTTATAGCAGCATAATTTATAATCCTTTGGGTATATACCCAGTAATGGGATGGCTGGGTCATATGGTACATCTAGTTCTAGATCCTTGAGGAATCGCCATACTGTTTTCCATAATGGTTGAACTAGTTTACAGTCCCACCAACAGTGTAAAAGTGTTCCTATTTCTCCACATCCTCTCCAGCACCTGTTGTTTCCTGACTTTTTAATGATTGCCATTCTAACTGGTGTGAGATGGTATCTCATTGTGGTTTTGATTTGCATTTCTCTGATGGCCAGTGATGATGAGCATTTTTTCATGTGTCTGTTGGCTGTATGAATGTCTTCTTTTGAGAAATGTCTGTTCATATCCTTTGCCCACTTTTGGATGGGGTTGTTTGTTTTTTCTTGTAAATTTGTTTGAGTTCTTTGTAGGTTCTGGATATTAGCCCTTTGTCAGATGAGTAGATTGCAAAAATTTTCTCCCATTCTGTAGGTTGCCTGTTCACTCTGATGGTAGTTTCTTTTGCTGTGCAGAAGCTCTTTAGTTTAATGAGATCCCATTTGTCAATTTTGGCTTTTGCTGCCGTTGCTTTTGGTGTTTTAGACATGAAGTCTTTGCCCATGCCTATGTCCTGAATGGTACTACCTAGGTTTTCCTCTAGGATTTTTATGGTATTAGGTCTAACATTTAAGTCTCTAATCCATCTTGAATTAATTTTCGTATAAGGAGTAAGGAAAGGATCCAGTTTCAGCTTTCTACTTATGGCTAGCCAATTTTCCCAGCACCATTTATTAAATAGGGAATCCTTTCCCCATTTCTTGTTTCTCTCAGGTTTGTCAAAGATCAGATGGCTGTAGATGTGTGGTATTATTTCTGAGGACTCTGTTCTGTTCCATTGGTCTATATCTCTGTTTTGGTACCAGTACCATGCTGTTTTGGTTACTGTAGCCTTGTAGTATAGTTTGAAGTCAGGTAGCGTGATGCCTCCAGCTTTGTTCTTTTGACTTAGGATTGTCTTGGAGATGCAGGCTCTTTTTGGTTCCATATGAACTTTAAAGCAGTTTTTTCCAATTCTGTGAAGAAACTCATTGGTAGCTTGATGGGGATGGCATTGAATCTATAAATTACCTAGGGCAGTATGGCCATTTTCACGATATTGATTCTTCCTATCCATGAGCATGGTATGTTCTTCCATTTGTTTGTGTCCTCTTTGATTTCACTGAGCAGTGGTTTGTAGTTCTCCTTGAAGAGGTCCTTTACATCCCTTGTAAGTTGGATTCCTAGGTATTTTATTCTCTTTGAAGCAATTGTGAATGGAAGTTCATTCCTGATTTGGCTCTCTGTTTGTCTGTTACTGGTGTATAAGAATGCTTGTGACTTTTGCACATTAATTTTGTATCCTGAGACTTTGCTGAAGTTGCTTATCAGCTTAAGGAGATTTTGGGCTGAGACAATGGGGTTTTCTAAATATACAATCATGTCATCTGCAAACAGGGACAGTTTGACTCTTCTTTTCCTAACTGAATACCCTTGATTTCTTTCTCTTGCCTAATTGCCCTAGCCAGAACTTCCAACACTATGTTGAATAGGAGTGGTGAGAGAGGGCATCCCTGTCTTGTGCCAGTTTTCAAAGGGAATTTTTCCAGTTTTTGCCCATTCAGTATGATATTGGCTGTGGGTTTGTCATAAATAGCTCTTATTATTTTGAGGTACGTTCCATCAATACCGAATTTATTGAGCGTTTTTAGCATGAAGGGCTGTTGAATTTTGTCAAAAGCCTTTTCTGCATCAATTGAGATAATCATGTGGTTCTTGTCTTTGGTTCTGTTTATATGCTGGATTATATTTATTGATTTGCGAATGTTGAACCAGCCTTGCATCCCAGGGATGAAGCCCACTTGATCATGGTGGATAAGCTTTTTGATGTGTTGCTGAATCCGGTTTGCCAGTATTTTATTGAGGATTTTTGCATCGATGTTCATCAGGGATATTGGTCTAAAATTCTCTTTTTTTGTTGTGTCCTTGCCAGGCTTTGGTATCAGGATGATATTGGCCTCATAAAATGAGTTAGGGAGGATTCCCTCTTTTTCTATTGATTGGAATAGTTTCAGAAGGAATGATACCAACTCCTCCTTGTACCTCTGGTAGAATTCAGCTGTGAATCCATCTGGTCCTGGACTTTTTTTGGTTGGTAGGCTATTAATTGTTGCCTCAATTTCAGAGCCTGCTATTGGTCTATTCAGGGATTCAACTTCTTCCTGGTTTAGTCTTGGAAGAGTGTAAGTGTCCAGGAAATTATCCATTTCTTCTAGATTTTCCAGTTTATTTGCGTAGAGGTGTTTATAGTATTCTCTGATGGTAGTTTGTATTTCTGTGGGGTCGGTGGTGATATCCCCTTTATCATTTTTAATTGCGTCGATTTGATTCTTCTCTCTTTCTTCTTTATTAGTCTTGCTAGCGGTCTGTCAATTTTGTTGATCTTTTCAAAAAACCAACTCCTGGATTCATTGATTTTTTGGAGAGTTTTTTGTGTCTCTATCTCCTTCAGTTCTGCTCTGATCTTAGTTATTTCTAGCCTTCTGCTAGCTTTTGAATGTGTTTGCTCTTGCTTCTCTAGTTCTTTTAATTGCGATGTTAGAGTGTCAATTTTAGATCTTTCCTGCTTTCTCTTGTGGGCATTTAGTGCTATAAATTTCCCTCTACACACTGCTTTAAATGTGTCCCAGAGATTCTGGTATGTTGTATCTTTGTTCTCATTGGTTTCAAAGAACATCTTTATTTCTGCCTTCATTTCGTTATGTACCCAGTAGTCATTCAGGAACAGGTTGTTCAGTTTCCATGTAGTTGAGCGGTTTTGATTGAGTTTCTTAGTCCTGAGTTCTAGTTTGAATGCACTGTGGTCTGAGAGACGGTTTGTTATAATTTCTGTTCTTGTACATTTGCTGAGGAGTGCTTTACTTCCAATTACGTGGTCGATTTTGGAGTAAATACGATGTGGTGCTGAGAAGAATGTATATTCTGTTGATTTGGGGTGGAGAGTTCTATAGATGTCTATTAGGTCTGCTTGCTGCAGAGATGAGTTCAATTCCTGGATATCCTTGTTAACTTTCTGTCTCGTTGATCTGTCTAATGTTGACAGTGGAGTGTTGAAGTCTCCCATTATTATTGTATGGGAGTCTAAGTCTCTTTGTAAGTCTCTAAGGACTTGCTTGATGAATCTGGGTGCTCCTGTATTGGGTGCATATATCTTTAGGATAGTTAGCTCTTCCTGTTGAATTGATCCCTTTACCATTATGTAATGGCCTTCTTTGTCTCTTTGGATCTTTGATGGTTTAAAGTCTGTTTTCTCAGAGACTAGTATTGCAACCCCCGCTTTTTTTTGTTCTCCATTTGCTTGGTAAATCTTCCTCCATCCCTTTATTTTGAGCCTATGTATGTCTCTGCGTGTGAGATGGGTCTCCTTTGCCGGGGGAGATGCGCTCTTATTTTTTGAATTTCCAGCTTTTCTGCCCTGCTTTTTCCCCATCTTTGTGGTTTTATCTGCCTCTGGTCTTTGATGATGGTGATGTACTGATGGGGTTTTGGTGTAGGTGTCCTTCCTGTTTGATAGTTTTCCTTCTAACAGTCAGGACCCTCAGCTGTAGGTCTGTTGGAGATTGCTTGAGGTCCACTCCAGACCCTGTTTGCCTGGGTATCAGCAGCAGAGGCAGCAGAAGATAGAATATTTCTGAACAGCGAGTGTACCTGTCTGATTCTTGCTTTGGAAGCTTCCTCTCAGGGGTGTACTCCTCTCTGTGAGGTGTGGGGTGTCAGACTGCCCCTAGTGGGGGATGTCTCCCAGTTAGGCTACTCAGGGGTCAGGGACCCACTTGAGCAGGGAGTCTGTCCCTTCTCAGATCTCAACCTCCGTGTTGGGAGAGAGATCCACTGCTCTCTTCAAAGCTGTCAGACAGAGTCGTTTGCGTCTGCAGAGGTTTCGGCTGTGTTTGTTATTGCCCTGTCCCCAGAGGTAGAGTCTACAGAGACAGGCAGGTTTCCTTGAGCTGCTGTGAGCTCCACCCAGTTCGAGCTTCCCAGCAGCTTTGTTTACCTACTTAAGCCTCAGCAATGGCGGGCGCCCCTCCCCCAGCCTCGCTGCTGCCTTGCCGGTAGATCACAGACTACTGCGCTAGCAATGAGGGAGGCTCCGTGGGTGTGGGACCCTCCCGGCCAGGTGTGGGATATGATCTCCTGGTGTGCCTGTTTGCTTAAAGCGCAGTATTGGGGTGGGAGTTACCCGATTTTCCAGGTGTTGTGTGTCTCAGTTCCCCTGGCTAGGAAAAGGGACTCCCTTCCCCCTTGCGCTTCCCAGGTGAGGCAATGCCTCGCCCTGCTTCAGCTCTCGCTGGTCGGGCTGCAGCAGCTGACCAGCTCCGATCGTCCGGCACTCCCCAGTGAGATGAACCCAGTACCTCAGTTGAAAATGCAGAAATCACCGGTCTTCTGTGTTGCTCGCGCTGGTAGTTGGAGACTGGAGCTGCTCCTATTCGGCCATCTTAAAAAAAGGCCTAATTCTTATTCGTAATTGGCTTATTGTCATTTCAATGGGGGATACTGACATAGGAGAAAAAAAGAATATTTCTTATCTGCAGCATAACCAAAAGTCCCTAAAAGTAAATTTCTAAAGTAAAGTTGTTCATGAAAGATAAAATTATTGACTCCCTTAAAATATCTTATTTTGTCCAACACCAATTACACGGGAATTGTCTCAGGTACATATTCTGCCTAAATGGAACATTCTTTAGGTAACTCTTCTGGTAAACAGAATTACCTTTCTTATGAATCTAACTTTTTAGAATACTTATCGGATTAGGAATTTTCTCAGGCAGACTCACTACATTTCTAGGATTACCATTTATCCTTCAATAAGGAGAGTTTCCAGTTTCCCTATTCCAGCATTCAAACCTGAAATTTTGAGAATGAGAAAAGTTATCTTCAAGAATATACTTGCTATTTAAAATGGCCTTCTCATAATAAAACCAACATACAATCCCAGGTCAATTTATCTTGTCTCTTCCTGCCAGAAACTGTTGTCTATGAAATGCAGACATACTGGACCAGAGCTCTATTGCTTTTGCTACTGCTATGCTGTCTTCATTTCTCTCAGTTATCTTCCTCTACCGTGCAAAGATGACCTTTTTATTTTCCTCTTCTGTTTTTTTCTTTCTGAGACAGAGTCTCATTCTGCCGCCCAGGCTGTAGTGCAGTGGCAAAATCTTGACTCACTACAGCCTCCGTCACCTGGGTTCAGGCGATTACGGTTCCTCAGCCTCCTGAGCAGCTGGGATTACAGCCGTGTGCCACAATGCCTGGCTAAATTTTGTACTTTTATTAGAGATGGGGTTTGGCCATGTTGGCCAGGATGGTCTTGAACTCCTGGCTTCAAGTGATCCACCCACCTCAGCCTCCCAAACTACTGGGATTACAGGTGTGAGCCACCATACCAGGCCAATATATCCCATTTTAATCACCATTAGTTTGGAACATATTACAGTTGGAAGCACAGAAATTTAAATAATGAAGCTCCTCTAGGAGAATCATGAAGGAGGACACTAGCAACACCTTCCCAACATCTTTTCTGAAAATCAATTTACTCAATATCTGTGATCATACCTGCCACCTCTGGGTGCTTCAGCAGGAGAAGGAGAGCATATCTCAGGGTTGTGCTTGTCGTCTCTGTCCCAGCTGCAAACAAGTCAACTGCAGTGTTTTCCAAGTTTTCAATATTAAATTCAGACTGTTGGTTGTGCTTTTCCTAGGAATGATTTTAAAATGCAATTATCTGACAAATTATTTACCAGCATCTTTGATTACAGTGAATTCAAAATTACTCACATTGTTATGTAGTTACCAACATAGAAACTGGAAAGCATACTACTAGAAAAAAAATACTGTATGGTGTAGCAGAAGCTGTAGACCAACTTGCCCAAGTTTTATTTCCTACCCCCTTGTTCCGTGCTTGCCTTAAAAATTCCATTCATCAGGCTCTTTGTAGTTAGCTGCGTCACACAGTGTAGTGTTTTGCCAAAAAATAAAAGCAGAAGGTCTCTAGGTCCACTTCTTCTATATCCTCTTTCATACCCAAAACACAAATGTGAAGTAGGAGGTAGAGTGGACTCCATCCTGGGATTTAATCATGAAAATGAAGTTCTGTATACTAAATTTAGGGGGAAAAAGGAAAGCCCTTGACTCTCTACTGCTTTGGGGCCGCTGTATTATCCCTAGATTGCCCCACTGTGAGATTCCCTGTATTTGAGATAAGTAAAGACATTATGTGTTAAAGCCATTATTATCTGTAGACAACCGCAATCTAAATTAATAAAAAAAGTAAATTAGGGCCATATCATTAGATACTGTGAGCCTGAATCAAGAGTCTGCAATTATCTTCTTCTGTCAGAAAGGTACATGGACTCAATATTGCCTCCAGATTCATTACAAAGTTGAAATTTTGTAAAAACAAATATGAAAAAAGCAATATGACAGCAAAACCTAGGAAAAATCATAGAGAAAGAGAATGGGTTTGCAATGACAAGATGGGCCTACACTATTATAATCTAGATGGGAGGCAACAGACAACTTGTTCTAGGATGCAGTAGTGCAGGAATAAATAAAAAATGTACAAAGTGAAGAGAAAGGACAATGATGAAGATGGAGAATAAAGCAATTAATTGTCACAGGGGATAAAGGAGTGATTAAGGGTAATGCATATGCCAAGGCTCAGAGGCTGGAGTTCTCATAAATTGGAAGTTAGGAGAAAGAAAGCAACGAATAAGGAATACTTAGTTGAAAGAGACCATCAATATACAAAACATATTACTTTTTAACCAGTCCCTAGGTCAGCAATAAATTAATGATGCTTTTAGATTCTCCAAGTGACATGGGTCATATTGAATATTGTGTAATCAACACCACTGAAATAGACTAGATCCACTCAACATGTCTACTTACTAGATGAAGACAATCCTCTCTCTTGGTAACATCCGCTTCATACAGTTTTCTAAGCTTGTCATGTTAAAAATTATTCTTAAGTAAGAACAGTGCACTCACAAAACCAGTATTAACATTTCCATCTGTTGACTTGAGCTTGGTTATTTAGCAGTTGTGTGCCTGTCCTATCTTATTAATGATAGTAGCCATATTCTACTTGCTGTGCTCAAATCTAAAGAGCACTCCTTCTACATCAGAGGCAGGTCAGGGCATTGTCCTGCACCTCACCCTCAGAAACAGACTCACAGCTACAACTCAGTCTGTGGGCTTCAGCTGCTAGGGTGTACTACAGAGTCATAGATCTTGACTCTGTGGGCAATCTACATTCAACTCTGCCTGAGAGTGAATCTGCACCCCAAGACCCAGGTGTCACAGTACATGATTAAAAGACCCTGAGTCTAGAATGATGCCTCTATGACAATTTCACGGACCTGTACTTGTAACCCAGCACCAATGCAGCTGCGTGTATGCCATGTCAGAGCTAACATCAAAAGGAATCCCTTAGGCTAAGTCACTCCAATTTTAGGAAAATAAAAATAGGAGGATACCTAAATACTTCGACACCAAGGACATTAACAACCTACACTACTCCTGATACTGCTGCAAACTTCCATAACCTAGGCCACTGAGGCACCCAAAATTATTGCTGATGTTGACCACAGCTAGAGAAACTACATAGATACTATCACACGGCATCTATTCAAAAACTGACTTACCCACTCTTCATCACCTGCACACAAACACTCAACTTCAAAAAAAAATTAGGGGGGCGGAGCAAGATGGCCGAATAGGAGCAGCTCCAGTCTCCAACTACCAGCGCGAGCCACACAGAAGACCGGTGATTTCTGCATTTTCAACTGAGGTACTGGGATCATCTCACTGGGGAGTGCCGGACGGTCGGTGCTGGTCAGCTGCTGCAGCCCGACCAGCGAGAGCTGAAGTAGGGCGAGGCATTGCCTCACCTGGGAAGCGCAAGGGGGAAGGGAGTCCCTTTTCCTAGCCAGGGGAACTGAGACACACAACACCTGGAAAATCGGGTAACTCCCACCCCAATACTGCGCTTTAAGCAAACAGGCACACCAGGAGATCATATCCCACACCTGGTCGGGAGGGTCCCACACCCACGGAGCCTCCCTCATTGCTAGCGCAGCAGTCTGTGATCTACCGGCAAGGCAGCAGGGAGGCTGGGGAGGGGCGCCCGCCATTGCTGAGGCTTAAGTAGGTAAACAAAGCTGCTGGGAAGCTCGAACTGGGTGGAGCTCACAGCAGCTCAAGGAAACCTGCCTGTCTCTGTAGACTCTACCTCTGGGGACAGGGCAATAACAAACACAGCCGAAACCTCTGCAGACGCAAACGACTCTGTCTGACAGCTTTGAAGAGAGCAGTGGATCTCTCCCAACACGGAGGTTGAGATCTGAGAAGGGACAGACTCCTGCTCAAGTGGGTCCCTGACCCCTGAGTAGCCTAACTGGGAGACATCCCCCACTAGGGGCAGTCTGACACCCCACACCTCACAGAGAGGAGTACACCCCTGAGAGGAAGCTTCCAAAGCAAGAATCAGACAGGTACACTCGCTGTTCAGAAATATTCTATCTTCTGCTGCCTCTGCTGCTGATACCCAGGCAAACAGGGTCTGGAGTGGACCTCAAGCAATCTCCAACAGACCTACAGCTGAGGGTCCTGACTGTTAGAAGGAAAACTATCAAACAGGAAGGACACCTACACCAAAACCCCATCAGTACATCACCATCATCAAAGACCAGAGGCAGATAAAACCACAAAGATGGGGAAAAAGCAGGGCAGAAAAGCTGGAAATTCAAAAAATAAGAGCGCATCTCCCCCGGCAAAGGAGCGCAGCTCATCGCCAGCAACGGATCAAAGCTGGACGGAGAATGACTTTGACGAGATGAGAGAAGAAGGCTTCAGTCCATCAAATTTCTCAGAGCTAAAGGAGGAATTACGTACCCAGCGCAAAGAAACTAAAAATCTTGAAAAAAAAGTGGAAGAACTGATGGCTAGAGTAATCAACTTCAGATGAAAGTCTTTCTCTATGAAATCCACTCCAAAACTGGAACAGCCATTGTCCCACCACATGCATAGACAACAATGCAGGGACACAACATGAAAAATCAAGAAATATGACACCACCAAAAAGACATAATATCTTTCAAATAATAGAACTCGATGAAAATAAAATCAACAAATATTCAAAAAAGGAATTCAAAATAATTACCTTGAAGAAACTTAATAGTGGGGGTGGCTGGCAAGATGGGCGAATCAGAAGAGTTTCAATCTACAGCTCCCAGCAAGATCAACAAAGAAGGCAGGTTATTCCTACATTTCCAACTGAATTACCCAGCTCATCTCATTGGGACTGTTTAGATGGTGCAGCCCACAGAGGGCAAGTCAAAGCAGGGTGGAGCATCAGCTCACCCAGGAACCCCAAAGAATCAGGGAACTCCCCCCCACCAGCCAAGAGAAACAGGGAGGAATTGTGCCATGAAGAATAGTGCACTCTGGCCCAGATACTAGGCTTTTCCCGTGGTCTTTGCAAACTGTAGACCAGGAGATTCCCTCAGATGACTACACCACAAGGGCACTGGGTTTCAAGTACAAAACTGGGGAGCCATTTGGACAGACGCCGAGCTAGCTGCAGGAGATTTTTTTCATACCCCAGTGGCACCTGGAACACCAGAGAGACAGAACTTTTCACACATCTGGAAAGGGGGTTGAAGCCAAAGAGCCAAGTGGTCTTGCTCAGGAGATCCCATCCCCATGGAGCCCAGCAAGCTAAGATCCACTGGCTTGAAATTCTCACTGCCAGCACAGTGGTCTGAAGTTCACCTGGGATGCACGAGTTTGGTGGGGGAAGGGGCATCCACCATTACTGAGGCTTGAGTAGGTAATTTTTCCCTCACAGTGTAAACAAAATGGCTGGGAAGTTGGACTGGCCAGAACCCACTGCACCTCAGCAAAGCAGCTGTAGCCAGACTGCCCCTGTAGATTCCCCCTCTCTGGGCAGGGCATCTCTGAAAAAAAGGCAGCAGCCCCAATCAGGGGCTTATAAGTAAAACTACCATCTCATTGGGGCAGAGCACCTGGAGGAAGGGGCAACTGTGGGCGCAGCTTCAGCAGACTTAAACATTCTGGCGTGCTGACTCTGAAGAGAGCAGCAGATCTACCAGCACAGCGTTTGAGCTCTACTAAAGGAAACACTGCCTCCTCAAGTGGGTCCCTGACCCCGTGGCTCCTGATGGGAGACACCTCCAAGCAGGGGTTAACAGACACCTCAGAAAGGAGAGCTCTTGCTGGCATCTGGTGGGTGCCCCAATGAGACAAACTTCCAGAAGATGGAAGAGACAGCAATCTTTGTTGCTCTGCAGCTTCCGCTGGTGATACCCAGGCAAACACGGTCTGGAGTCGACCTCCAGCAAACCCCAGCAGACCTGCAGCAGAGGGACTTGACTGTTAGAAGGAGAACTAACAAACAGAAAGCAATAGCATCAACACCAACAAAAAGGATGTCCACACAAAAACCCCATCTGAAGGTCACCAACATCAAAGACCAAAGGTAGATAAATCAATGAAGATGAGGAAAAACCAGTAAAAAAAGACTGAAAATTCAAAAAAAACAGAACACCTCTTCTCCTCCAAAGAATCACAACTCTTCACCAGCAGGGAACAAAACTGGACAGAGAATGAGTTTGATGAATTGACAGAAGTAGGGTTCAGAAGGCAGGTAATAACAAACTTCTCTGAGAGAAAGGAGTATATTCTAACCCAATGCAAGGGAGCTAAGAACCTTGAAAAAAGGTTAGACAAATGGCTAGCTTGAATAACCAGGTTACAGAAGAACATAAATGACCTGATGGAGCTGAAAAACAAAGCACAAGAACTTCATGAAACATACATAAGTATGAATAGCTGAATCTATCAAGTGGAAGAAAGGATATCAGAGATTAAAGATCAACTTAATGAAATAAAGCCTGAACACAAGATTGGAGAAAAAAAAATGAAAAGAAATACACAAAGCCTCCAAGAAATATGAGACTATGTGAAAAAACCAAACCTACATTTGATTGGTGTACCTGAAATTGATGGGGAAAGGGGAACCAAGTTGGGATACACTCTTCAGGATATTATCCAGGAGAACTTCCCCAACCTAGCAAGACAGTCCAACATTCAAATTCAGAAAAAACAAAGAATACCACAAAGATACTTCTTGAGAGGAGTAACCCCAAGACACATAACTGTCAGATTCACCAAGGTTGAAATGAAGGAAAAAATGCTAAGGACAGCCAGAGAGAAGGGTCGGGTTACCCACCGAGGGAATCTCACTAGACTAACAGTGGATCTCTCTGCAGAAACCCTACAAGCCAGAAGAGAGTGGGGGCCAATATTCAACCTTCTTAAAGAAAAGAATTTTCAACCCAGAATTTTATATCCAGCCAAACTAAGCTTCAAAGTGAAGAAATAAAATAAAATCCTTTACAGAAAAGCAAATGCTGAGAGATTGTGTCACCACCAGGCCTGCCTTACAAGAGCTCCTGAAGGAAACACTAAATATGGAAAGGAAAAACCAGAACCAGCTACTGCAAAAACATACCAAATTGTAAAGGCCATCAACACTATAAAGAAACTGCATCAACTAATGGGCAAAATAACCAGCTGGCGTAATAATGACAGGATTAAATTTACACATAACAATATTAACCTTAAATGTAAATGGACTAAATACCCCAGTTAAAAGACACAGACTGGCAAATTGGACAAAGAGTCAAGACCCATCAGTGTTCTGCATTCAGGAGACACATCTCACGTGCAAAGACACACCAAGGCTCAAATAAAAGGGATGGAAGAAGATTTACCAAGCAATTAGAAAGCAAAAAAAAAAAAAAAAAAAAAAAAAAAAGGCAGGGCTTGCAATTCTAGTCTCTCATAAAACAGACTTTAAACAAACAAAGATTAAAGAAACAAAGAAGGGCATTACATAATGGTAAAGGGATCAATGCAACAAGAAGAGCTAACTATCCTAAATGTATATGCACCCAATGCAGGAGTGCCAATATTCATAAAACAAGTTCTTAGAGACCTACAAAGAAACTGAGACCCCCACACAATAATAATGTGAGAATTTAACACCCCATTGTCAAAATTAGACAGATCAATGAGACAGAATATTAACGAGGATATTCAGGACTTGAACTCAGCTCTGGACCAAGAGGACCTAATAGACATCTACACAACTCTCCACCCTAAATCAACAGAATATACATTCTTCTCAGCATCACACTGCACTTATTCTAAAATCAGCCACATAATTGAAAGTAAAACACTCATCAGCAAATGTAAAAGAACAGAAATCATAACAAACAGTCTCTCAGACCACAGTGCAATCAAATTAGAACTCAGGATTAAGAAACTCACTCAAAACTGCACAACTATGTGGAAACTGAACAACCTGCTCCTGAATGACTACTGGGTAAATAACAAAATGAAGGCAGAAATAAAGATGTTCTTTGAAACCAATGAGAACAAACACACAATGTACCAGAATCCCTGGGACACAGCTAAAACAGTGTTTAGAGGAAAATTTAGAGCACTAAATGCCCACAGGAGAAAGCAGGAAAGATCTGAAATCGACACCCTAACATCACAATTAAAAGAACTAGAGAAGCAACAGCAAACAAATTCAAAAGCTCACAGAAGACAAGAAATAACTAAAATCAGAGCAGTATTGAAGAAGATAGAGATGTGAAAAACTCTTCAAAAAATTAATGAATCCAGGAGCTGGTTTTTTTGCTAAGATTAACAAAATAGATAGGTTACTAGCCAGACTAATAAAAAAGAAAAGAGAGAAGAATCAAATAGACACAATAAAAAATGATAAAGGGGTTATTACCACTGACCCCACAGGAATACAAACTACCATCAGAGAATACTAAAAACACCTCTATGCAAATAAACTGTGAAATCTAGAATAAATGGATAAATTCCTTCCCATATACACCCTTCCAAGGTTAAACCAGGAACAGAAAACCAAACCACATATTCTCACCTATAAGTGGGAGTTGAACAATGAGAACACACAGACACAGGGAGGGAAAAATCACACACCAGGGTCTGTCGAGAGGTTGGGGGAGTAGGGGAGGGATAGCATTAGGGGAAACACCTAATGTTGATGATGGATTGTTGGGTGCAGCAAACCACCATGGCACATGTATACCTATGTAACAAACCTACATGTTCTGCACATGTATCCCATAACTTAAAATGCAATTAAAAAAAGAAAGAAATAGCAGGATAGTTAGTAGAGGTAGAGAAGTAAGGGAGATAGCCAGAAGTTGGTTAACAGATACAAAAGTTCAACTATATAAAAGGAATAAGTAATAGTGTTCTATAGCAGTATAGAGTGACTATAGTTAACAACATCTTATTGCATATTTTAAAATACCTAGAAGAGCAGATTTTTAATGTTTCCAGCACAAGGAAATGAAAAATATTTGAGGTTATAGATATGTTAATCATCCTGCTTGATCATTACACATTGTATACATGTACTGAAATACTACAGTACACCCCATAAATATGTACAATTATTGTGCCCATTAAATTATAAATTATACATTTATAATAATATAAATTTATATATGATATATAATATAAATTTATAATATATAATATGTAATACTGTATTATACATTTATTACTAAATAAGCAATAATTAAATCAAATAAGTAAAGGCTAAGAAAACAAAAGAAAATAACAAGTGCTGGTGAGAATGTGGAGAAATTGGAAACCTCAGGTCCTACTGATGGAAATGTAAAATGGTGCAGCTGTTAAGGACAATATTAAGGCAGTTAAAGAATTAAAAACAGAATTACCACATATCCCAGAAATGCCACTTCTGGATATATATCCAAAAGAATTAAACTCAACACATCAAAGAGATATTTGTTTACCCATATTCATAATAGTATTACTCACAAAGTCAAAAGGTGAAAGTAATCCAGATGCTCATCAACAGATAAATGGGTAAGCAAATTTGGTTTATACATATAACGGAAT